GTGTGGCTCACAAAATACAGTGGAGGTTTGTCCAGATGTCTAGAAGTAGAATTGAAGAAATCGTCCAGTAGAGAATGCTCTGTTCCCAGCTGAAGGAGTCATCTGGGAAGGACCTCAGCAGGTCTCTGCTGTTCGTCCCAGAAAGGTCCCAGGGTAGCTGGCCAGAGTGACAGGCACCACTCAGCCGTCAGGTTTGCTGAGGGTGGGCACTAAGACTTGGTACAAATGAAAGCTTTTCCTGGGTGTGTGTGCCCTGGACTGAGACAGGGCATCCCCAAGGGTGAGAAGCAACAGGTGGGAGGGGAGCTCCAGGTAGCCGGCTCCCATCTATAGCTCCAAACATCTTAACCCTTTGAGGCCTCACAGTCTATGCCGTCACTGGTTGCACATCAATGTAGAAAGCCCTTCTGGACCTTGTCACAATCCGGGAAGTCCACCTTTCCCATCCCAGGGGAAAGTTATTAGAGTTCTAACAAGTAATTCCAATCTACCACTTCCAGTGCAGTCCACACAAGAATAAAGACACTAAGACGTATCTGTAGTTGTGGGGAGCCCAGGGGGTCCTAAACCCAGCTGGGATGGTGGTTAACCAAAACAAAGGTCTCAACCGAGCCCAATTTGGATTTTATTCATTCATGAAGACAGCAGTGGCTCAGGGATGAGTGGCTGAGAGAAAGCTGGAAAGTGCCGGAGGGCTGTGAGCTGAGCTAGGGAGGAGGCTCCAAATCACCTCTGCAATATGCAGAGATACGCAGAAAGGCTCATCTGCATGCCATAGACCGGGCAGTGCCTGTGCTTTGGGGCTGTTGCTTTAGTTTGGATGTGTCATCGTCATACCCTGAAATGACAGGGCCTCTTTGCAGAGCTCCAGCCCAGCCCACAGCTAGTCATCACTCAGGCTAGGTCACACTTACTACTGGGGAGCTATAGGTGAGTGTCACTGACCTGTCCATTGCTTTAAAGACTACACATCAGCATCTCAACTAGACCCACTTACATTGCTTAGCCAATTGAGGGGGGTAAAGAGATATCCTAGGCAGCTCTGTGCAAATCAATACATGGAGTAGGGCCGGGTTTCGCCAAAATAGAGACAATCGCACTTCTTTCAAGGAAAATCACCCGGATGGTCCTCTGCAATTTCACGGGTGAAGGAAATGGGGCACCGACCAAATAAAACAACAACTACAAGCCCCAAGGGTGGGAGCAGCACCCTGGGTCTACAGCTTTTGAACGCAACACAGCAGCTGAACACAAGGAAGCAAGAGAAAGACCTTAAAGACTGATTCGCACACACACAAAAAAAGACTTGATTCGCAAGAGAAATGAAGGTTTCAACACAGCAGCGGAGGAGCCCTTTCATGACCAAGCTCCTCACTTTTGTATCGTCTGCTGGGGAAGGAGCTGGGGCAGCTGCAGAAGGCCTCGGGTACCAGTTGCCCTTCCACGATTTGAAGTTATTTTGTGGGTCCCTGTGTATATCTGTATATAAAAGTCAGTGCTTGCTGAGCTTATATGGCAGGTTAACCGGCGGCCAGGGAGTCTCTAGCAGGCCGTCTGCTCTCTGTCATCTGTCATCCTGCACAATTGCCCTACGACTTCCCGCTCTTCCGCCCTCTTTCCCTGACTCCCTCTCCTGCAGTAAAGGCCAACGGAGACTCCTTATGTCTCCTGGCTGGAGCTGAAGTCAGTACCTATGTTGTACCAGGCAGGGAGCACAAGACCATCCAGGGAAGGTAGCTGAATGTTTATGGTGCAGGCAGGAAGCCACGAGGCTTCCTTATATCAGGCAAGCAGAGTGGGTGGCAGGCCTGAGGGGCCCCCTCTTAGCTTATGATCCCTTCTCCCCATGTCTGAACTCTGTCTGGGCCTTTGGAACAGCCAGGAGCTCAGCCTGCTCAGAAGCAAGGGAAAGCAGATGTCATCTTGTGACAGCTGTTACCTGGAGTCCCCCAGGGGAAATGTCTCCCCTGTTCCGCTAAAGATGCTGCTTGACTTACAATGGGGTTACATCCTGATAAGCCCATCATAAATCAAAAACAAGTAAAAAATGCAGTGAATGTGTTGTGGGCAGCTGAGTTAATTAGAAATATTATGGGCAGTCAGACAGGCTAGGCCCTCCAAGGATCCAGTGCAGAAGACCAGATATCTTACAATCATGGAGAAGACAGATACCTCCCCCCACTGCTGTGGGCCAGACCTCAAGACAAAAGATCAAACAAATGCACCCACATCCTAAGGGTTGATAAATAGGTCTCTGTCACCCTGAGGAAGCCAAGAGTCACTAACCCAGCCCCTACAGCCAGAGGCCCTGTTCTGTATTCATGCTCCTTGCCACAAGTGAAAGCCTCCCCACTGGATCCCGATTTAATCAATTTTACCTGAGCAACGACACCCTAATCTTACTGGTTGGCCATAGTTCTGTTTTTTCCCCACTTTGGCTCCACCTCACCTTGTGGTTTTGCTCTATAAAAATCCCTAGAGAAGGTGGAGTCCTCAGCAACTGACTCAGGACCCCTTGTGTTTCCCAGATAGAAGCTTTTTTTTTCTCTCAATAAATATATGCTGCTCTTAATCTCCACTGTTTCTAAAATTCATTCTTGGATTTTAGAGAACACAAACTCATACCGGACATCTAGTAGAGAGTTCTTTCCTCTATGTAAAGTGCACCCAGAGTCATAACTTAGCAATACCTTATACCACTGGTGATGTTTGATAATTTACCCCCATCCTTTTTTAAAGGAAGACAATTTTTCCACTGACCGTGTGGGGATGGGTGGTTTTGCAATGATTCCAGGGCATTACATGTGCTGCACTTTATTTCTATGGTTATTACTTTAAGGTCCCATAAGGAGAGCACAACCTACACCCCCATACACAGTTCCCAGAAGGGTTCGAGCTCCTTTGAGAATCTAATTTGGCCACTGATCTGACAGGCAGGGACGTGAGCCATGGAGAGAAGCTGTAGACACAGACGGAGCTTTGTCCCCCTTCCCACCTTGCCTTCTGCTGTGTGACCTGATTCCTAACAGGCCACCAAACAGAACCCACCATCTCTCCATATAATAACATGATGGACTGGGAGCTGTGGTCCATTGCTACTGCCCAGCATTGAGAAGGTATCAGGGAGGGGCTGGGGATTTAGCTCAGTGGCATAAGCCCCTGCCTTGCAAGCAGGCAGTTGTGAGTTCGATCCCTGGTACCGATAAAAATGAAAAATACAAAAAAAAAAAAAAAGAAAATGAGAAGGTATCAGGGTTGGGGGTGGAGCTTAGAGTGCTTTCCCAGCATGCACGGGCAGTGGGTTTGATCCCTAGTGCTCCAGGGAAACAGAGACGGAGACATAGAAAGAAACACAGTATTATACTGCGTATCCCATCACCAGCTTAGGGAAAGAACAAACTTCAAAATATGAAGTAGATTTCTACTGAGTGCAGAATCACTTTCACACCATCATAGAGTCAAAAAGATCATTAAGATAGAGACTGATCTGTAGATTCAAATCCAGCCAGATTTTCTACCCACCAAGTACCTTCTGCCTGTCTGAGCCTTATTTTCCCTGTAAAGAGGGATGATTAGTTCACAGAAATAATGATCAGCTCGCTATTCTGGGTGCCTCTTCCTCATGCACAGTTACAGCGGGGATTAAGTTAGAGGATCCATGCGAAGGATGGTGACAGGCTCTCCAGTAGAACCCTAACTAGCATCTCGCCTCCGATAGTGTAAGGATGGTGGGAATAAGGAGACAGGGCGGGAACCAAGGCGCTCAGACCCCAGCCTTTCTGCTGTACCCACCCCACGCCATGGCCTTCGTGACCACCCAGAGCTCAAAAAAGCGGACTGATTACAAGCACCACCAGGGAGCCCAAATAAACTAGATTTTTTTTTCCTTCCAAGCATTATAACAATGGTGTATCGTTATTTAGAGCAAGGTAGGATTCTCTTAAAACCCTGTCATTGGGCATTTTATTTTGTTTCTGAAGCAAACACAGACTACTTGGACTTGGGCTTGGAGAGTTTGACACACCCAGGAGATTCTGGGGCGCCCTGACAGAGGGCACATCCAACCGGATTTGAGTGATTTCTACTCCACTGGCTCTGAATGTCAGTTCCACGTTTCTTCCTTGAGAAATCAGCTAAGGGATTATGGGGTCCTGCAAAGCTGGGGGGCTGTTCAAGCTCTTGGCCAGCCGGGATTCCGTGGGGTCTGTCTTGTAGTGAACAAAACTGGATCCTGGTCAGGTCAGGGCTGAGAATTTGCTACAAATGAGCATAGGGTACTAGGGGCGGCAGGCGGAGCTGGGCAGCAGCTGGCTGGAGACTCCGATGTCCGGGGCGCCCCAGGTCTAATTCCACATGGTCTCCCCTAGATGGCTCTCTGGTTGCCATAGGTCAAGTACACAGTACGCCATAGTCCATTTCTCTTACCAGAGCCTCCTGAGGTGTCCTCAGGACCCCTCCTCTTGCCTATGGTACGCGATTTTACGGGGTCAGTCCCAGGGCTGTCCACTTCCAGGCAGAAGATCCAGGTCTGCAGCAGGGGACAGATGGGGACGTGGGTGAGCAGGTTTGCTCATTTTATGGGCACACCTTTTCTCCTAACCCAGGAGCACCGGGCAGGGCATTTTTGAGCACAGCAACTGATCCAGCCAATTCTGGGACCACAGTCTGAGTTTACAGGTACGGGGGGCGGGGGGCGTCGCAGAGGCAAACAATGAATAAAGATCCGTTTTAACAGAGAGGGCGCACCAGTAGGGCTGTAGGTTTGAAGACAGCCTTTCCCCAGCATGGATACCCTCTCTTGCTCTAAAGGTGCCTGTGAGGTTTCTCTCTGTGCCTCAGCTTCCCCATCTGTGGAATGGGTCAGGCTCAGGATGTGTGGAGCACAGGGCAGGTATAGACCCCCCACCTCGTCGCAGGTGCTCCGCTCCGCCCCGCCCCCTCCCTGCAAGGCCACGCCCCTCATCCACCCCGCCCACCCCCTGGCGTTGCCATGGCGACGCGCGTACACAGGCGGGAGGCCGCGCGGGGTTCGGGCTGCGAGCTGGAGACTCCCCGGACCCGGCGGCCTCGCCGCGGAGCGGGCCGGCTGGGCTCTCGGCGGAGGACGGAGCGCAGGCTTCCTCCTCCTCCGGCCAGGTGAGTGCTGGCCGGCTGGCCGGCCGAAGGGGCGGACCGGGGAAGGGCCCCGCCCGGGGAGGACGCAGGCGGGCGGGAGGCGGGGCGGTTCTCTGGCCCGGTCCTCCCAGATCCGGCCTCCGCGGCCAGGCCTCGGCCCCCTAGGGGTGAGGAGGGGCGTCCCTCGCCGCTTTTGTTTTGCTGGGACACACGCTGAGTGTCCAGGGAGGTCCCCTGTTTCCCGCACACAGCCTCAGGGAGCTCCAGAGCCCCCAGCAGACACTTTGCACTGTGCTGCAGCTCGGTTCTGACCCATCCGTGGCCCGGGGCTGCAGAGCCCTGAAGCACTTTGACTTTACTATCGCTGATTTAGAGTCCAACACTTTCGGATTGCTTTCCGCGGTGCTCCCAGACAGGGCACGCTTAAAATGGGAAACACTGCCTAAGCCAGGCAGCTAGAGGAACAGACCCTGAGTTTGCCCACCTGTCCTGTAGGACGGACGTAGAAGGGGGCAGTGGAAGGGAGCCCGAAGATTCCGAGGCTGCCCTGAGTTACTCCCGGCATCGGGCTGTGCGCCCATTCATCCAGCAAGTATTGCTGCGTGCCTAAAAGAGTTTTGCAGGCTGGGGATGGAGCCATGAGCAGACTCCTACTTGCAATCTAAGGAGCTTAGTGGATGCTGGCAGAAACAAAGGACCCTGCTGCTCACTGCAGGGCAGGCAGCCTGAGCTACTGAGCTGCGTGTTTCACTGCTCCCCAAGTCCCTGTCCCCAACCCCTTTCCCTGTCCCAACCCCCTAGGGGATAGGTGTACAGAATATCCCAACAGATGCTGCACATCCAGGGTCTGGGGCCCAGCTAAAGCTGGATCTCACCTGAGGGAGCCCCAACCTTTTAAAGGGGGTGCTGGCTTCCTTTGCCCAATGTTTGCTGGAAAAGAGACACTACCTTTATGATAAGGGAACTTGCCCTTCACCTGGCGGTGCCACGCAAAAGTTCAGCTCTCTCTCTCTCGCTCTCTCTCTCTCTCTCTCTCTCTCTCTCTCTCTCTCTCTCCCTGCCCCTTACTGCTGGGCAACCTCAGCCTCGATGGATCTGTAAAGTAGGAATGGTAACGGCCTCAAGATTGTTCCACAGATTGTGACCTGATGCCTGGCACTCACTAGGGACTCCGTGAAGGGTGGCAGAGATGGCATGCAGAGCAGAGCCCTCTGGGAATGCATACCCTCACAGGGGGAGGATTTTTGTTTCCACCTGGAGTCCAACAGCTTTGCATTTTAGTGGCTTTTCAGTTTAAAAAGAAAGGACTGTTGCTCTTTGCCGTGACTTTAAGACAGAGGACGGACGTTGCTTGTGTGTACGGCTTTGAGACAGAAGGTTAGAGTGTATTTGAACATGACTTGAGATGAGTTATGGTTACTGTTTTAGAACCATTGAAGTCACTGAAGTGTTTGTAAAAGAATGCATAGAACTTGTTTTGAAATGCACCAAGCTATAAGTTGGATTATGACTGGATAATCCAGTCATAATTATGAATGGACAAGGAAGGATGCTGACTGGAATCTAGGGGTGACATAGGCGTTTACTATCTACCTCTTTAAGTCTCTCTGCAGCTTTGACATTTTCACAATAAAATGATAAGGAAAAATATGTTCAGGGTCCTGATCACGTGGCCAAGCTATAGTCTTAATATTGTGTTTTCAGAAATCTCTTTCATTCTAAGTATATAAAAAAGGCAGTCATTGAAAAAAAGTATCCAGCTGTACCTGTTATGTCAATGACTGAGTCTTGGCACTTTAAACTATGTGGCAGGAGTCCTTGGAGTGGAATTTTAAGACCCCAAGTTAACAACAGCAACAGCAGAAGAAGTATAAATTTGTGTCCACTGTATGCCAGCCACCATTTTGTGCTGAATTATCACAAACCCATTATCTAGGTGAGAAAACTGAGGCACCCAGAGAGAATAATTAATGCACTCAAGGTCTCACCGCTAGCATGAGTGGTGGGATAGGAACATCAAACGTGAATTCTTGGTGTATCGGATAGCTCCATCCAATGGGAGGCGGGCAGCAGTCATTAGTGAAATTCGCTTGTTGGTGTGGTCTAGTTTTGTGTGTTTGTGCCCTGAGTCCTTTAGGAAGCTTGATGATTAGATCCAAGCTCTTTCATGCATGGTATCACTGTTAGAAAAGGTGGTTTCAAAAGACAGACTTGTCATTGTGGTCCCTGTCAAGCTCATCTGTCCCCTCCTGGGTCTGCAGACCTCTCCCTGTGGACCTCTGTGGTTACTTCACTCATTCTAACCCTGATGCTGCTGACCCAGTAAGACAATCGTAGTTTCTAACCAAATGCTTTCTGAAAACCTTGCCTAGGGGAACCAGAGAGAATGAAAGCCTATCTCAAGAGCGCAGAAGGCTTTTTTGTCCTAAATAAAAGTACCACGATCGGAAAGCATGAGGATTCGGACCTGGTGTTACAGGTAAGCACCCTCCCCAGCTGCTGCACACGCCTCCCAGCCCTGCGCCCTCCGCCAGCCCTCGGGGTGGACTCGCACCTCTCAGAGCACAGCAGAACGCCCAGACAGCACCTGCCGCTGTTCTGTGCGGCCAGGCCAGCCCTCAGGGTCAGCACTGCTGCATTTCCTTGCTGGAACCAGTAAGTGGAGCTTTATGCCAAGTGCAAGGAGCCCACATCCTCTCTGTTGTCCCCTCCCCAGCGGCCTTCCAGGCTGACACCACCTCTATGGATAGGGCCCCTCGCCCTTTCAGAGCCCCTTTGGATTTCTCTGGGTCCCGCGGTGCCATCGGGGCCGCCCTGGGCTTGGCCCCAGCAACCTTTCATTTCGTTGCACGTTTGGATTTAGCTGTGGTTCGGCCCAAAGCCTCAGCCCATTGATGGCCAAAGGAGCTGGGAAGGAAGAATGCACTGATAAAAACGGCACCCTGGTGCTTTTTAAAACATTGAAGCGAGTCAAAATATTAATAAGAGAAGGGCGGTGAGGGGAATCTCTTAACTGGAAAGAAAAAGAGAAGGTTTTGCTGAGGCCTCACACAACAGATTTTTAAAGATTTAAAACAAATGCCTGAAATAATTAGGGATTCACAAGAAGTTCCAAAAACAGCAGACGGAGAACAAGTGTTGCATCCCCAAATCCTTACATGTGACAGTAGAAACACGAGGAAATTGATTTGGATACACTGTGTGTGTGTGTGTGTGTGTGTGTGTGTGTGTGTGTCCTGTGTCACTTTGTCACTAATGCTGCCCTGTGAGCCAAAACTGAGATACGGCCCTGGCCCATCACCACAGATCTTTCTTGTGATCCTTCTTTATACTCACAAGACTTCCCACACCCCGCCACCGTCCCTAACCCCTGGCAACGATTAATCTATTCGCCATCCTGTCATTTTGCCATTTCAAAAATGTTGCATAAATAAAATCATGCAGCGTAGGACCTTTTTGAGGCTGGAGGTTCTGTGTTTCTTTCACCAAGTCCTGGAGATCCATTTAGATTGCTAATGCGTTCCTTTTTATTGCTGTGTAGTATTCCATGCTATGGATATACCAATGTTTCTGTAACCCTTCACTTCTTGAAAGACATTTTGATTATTTCTAGTTTGGGATTATTACAATTAATCTGCTATAAATAATTTCATATAGGATTTAGACTGAATATAAAATTTTATTTTTCTGGGAGAGGTGCCAGCCTGGAGAGTGATGGCTGGGTTTTATGGTATATGTGAGGTAGATGTCTAAAGGAAACACCAGACTGTTATGCATTTTGCACTCCTTTAAGTAGGAACAGTTTCTCTGCATCCTCACTACCCATGAGTGTTGTCACTGGTTTTATTTGAGGTGATCTAGTTAGCTGTACAATAGCTCATCCATGTCTTAATTTGCATTTTCCTAATGGCTCATGTACTTGTGCTTTTTGATTTAGCGTATCCTATTTGCTGAAACCCATTGTTTAGAGTTTTGATTTTTTTACTAATGAGTCTTTTTTTTTTTTTTTGTCTTTTTCGTTTTTATCGGTACCGGGGATCGAACTCACGACTGCCTGCTTGCAAGGCAGGCGCTTATGCCGCTGAGCTAAATCCCCAGCCCCTACTAATGAGTCTTAACAATTCCTATGGATTCCAGGTCCCAGTTCCTCATCAGATACATGGCTTGCAAATATTTTCTCCCCGTCTATCACTTGTCTTCATTTTCTTAACTGAGTCTTTCACAGAACACAAACTTACCTTCTGATGATACTTTACTATGTTGTCTTTCAATCCAGTTTCTCACTTTTCCTCTCTAAATGACGTATTTGGTGTTGTATTTGTGAATACTTCACCAAGCCCTTGGCTCCGAAGACTTTCTCCTATGTGTTTTTCAAATAGCTTTATAGTTTTATGTTTCATATTTAAATCTGCGGATCACCTTGAGTTTATTTTGTGAACAATGTGAGGTTTAGGTCAAGGTTCATTTTTTATGGCTGTGGATAGTCAAGTTGTTCCAGGGCCATTTTTTAGAAAGACCATTTCTCCACTGAATTACTTTTGCACTTTTGCCCCAAAATCAACTGACCATACTTATGTCCCTGCACAAGTGAGTGCTCTGTGGTTACCCTTACCTGTGTCCCTCTCCTGTGATATGATGCAGTCCTGACTACTATAAATATGACCTGGATAGAGGGATTCCTCCATGTTATTTTTCTTTCCCAAGACCGTCTTACTTAATTTAGTTTCTTTGCCTTTTCACATGTTTTTAGAATAACACTGTCTAAATTTACAAAATATCTCGCTGGTGTTACGGTTTGTGTTTAAATGTCCCCCCAAGCCTCATGCGGTCATGGAGCCGGGCTTTCCAAAGGCTAGCATTTGTGATTGGACATTGTCTGGCACTGGGATTGGCAGGGTAAGTGCTGCACCGCCCAGGGGTGCATAGCTGGTATCCAACATAAGGGAGGGAACAAGGCGTGTTTTGCCTTTCCCCCTTTTTTACCCTTGCTGCTTGTGGCTGCCATGAACAGCTTGCCACCCTGCCTTGGAGCCAGCTGAGTATGGACTGAAACCTCCATGAACTTTAAGCTAAATAAGTCTTTCCTTCCTTCATCTTGAGTGTCAAGTATTTTGTCTCAGCAATGAGAAGGATCCAAGACACTGGGATTTGGGTAGGGATTGTGTTTGAAATAATATATCAATGTGGGAAGAATCGATATTTTACTGTGTTGCCTTCTAATCCACGAACATGGTATGTTTTTTCATTTCTATAGATCTTTAATTTCTTTCATTGGGATTATGTGTCTTACAGCATATAAGTGTTCGACTGTTTTGTTAGATTTACACTTAAACATTTCTCGTATTTTGTTAGTTACAGTAAATAGTATACTTTTAACTTTGCCCACTGTTGGTTGCCAGTATATAGAAATAAAATAGAGTTGTTTTTTGTAGGCTTACATGGTAACTTGCAACTTTAATTGAACTTTCTAGAAGTGTTTTTGTAGCTCTTTTTGGATTTTATATGTAAATAACCAGGTCATTGAGAATAAGAACACATTTGTGTTTTCTTATGTTTGTTTTTAACTGTCTTCTCTTGCAACGATGCCCTGGCTAGGACTTCCAGTGCTCTGTTGAGTAGTTGTGATAAAAACAGTGTAAGTCTTGTTTACCTTGTTCTTGAATTTAGAGAAAAGCATTCAGTCTTCCACTGTTAAATATGATGCTAACTCTAGGGCTTCTGGAGATATTCCTCATCAAATGAAGAAAGCTCCCCCTGTAGCCATAGTTGAGAGTGTTGTCGTAAATTCAAAAATAACCCAACTTGCCTCCCCTTGAGATTCTCATCCATAATATGTTCTTCCTACACAGACACAAAAAACTTAGTCAGTGTACAAACCTGAAAAACAAGAAAAAGAATTGCAGATTCTTCTTACTACAATGAGGGTTGATGGGTTTTGTTTCCTGTCTGTCCAAGGTGGAAACGAGGGTCTCTGTTTTGAACTCAGTATGTTGTTAGGAAACCGTCATAATTTTTAAAAGCAGTCTTTTGGGATAGGCTGCTCCGGGCTTGTAACTCTTTAGGCCATTTTCTGGCTTTGTGACTTCTGGCGATTTCCTTAATCACTCTGAACCCATTTTCTCCATCTGGAAAGCACTTAGCTCTCAGGGTTGTTGCGGGGCTTAAATGAGAAAATGCACATAAAGTGCCTGGCACACCGCGCTAAGCAAATGACACTGTGATCACTGTTACGCTGCCAGAAGATGAGGCTGAGAAGGATTCTGTGGGCTACACAGGGTCAGGACAGGAATTCATTGATGCTAACAAGCTGTTTCAGAAGGGGAATTAATGAGGACAACTACTACAGAGACAGAAGCTGAGGTGCATTTATGCACCTCAAAAATAATTGCACTACAAAAATAATTGCTCGCTGTTCCTTGGTTTAAAAAGGAAGTCATTTGTTCTATTTGGTGTAGCACCATTTCTTGAAAAGACCACCATCCCCTCACTGAATGGCTTTTGCACTTTACAAAGGAAGCTGTTGCCAGTGGCTGTGGTCACTGTGATTAAAGAAACAATCAACTGGGGGCTGGAGATTTAGCTCAGCGGCATAAGCGCCTGCCTTGTAAGCAGGCAGTCGTGAGTTCGATCCCCGGTACTGATAAAAAGGAAAAAGACAAAAAAAAAGAAAGAAAGAAAGAAACAATCAATTGCATTTCCAGAAACACACACCTCCCCTGGCTCCTGGAGCAGCAGATGACCCAGGGGTTGCCAGGTGCTTTGGGAAGAGACTTTCGATGGGTTCTTATGTCTGTCTCAGGTACAACCTCTGCTCGTAGTTTAAGTGGAATCAGGGCAGGAGACAGGCTGGCTTCACAGTGATGAAATCTAACAGAAGTGGCAGCATTTTTCAGTGTTCTAAGACAAGCAGTGAAACCCGCGCCCCTGTTGACCCCCTTGGGCCTTTCTGATTAAACTCAAAATCAGGCTTGATTAGCTACAGCCGCCAAGAATCAGCTGATCATCTGTGCTATTTGTGCTACTGGAAATCATTCCATGACAAAGTTCAGAAGCCAAAATAAACAAGCAAGCAAAAACCTTGCAATTATCTACCAGTTACACTGAACAAATAGAAAATGAGCGTTTGTTTTATCTGCTGGGTAAATCCTAAAGAATAGAGAGCTCTGTATCTAAAACTTTATATTTGCTGTCAAGGCTCATATGTTTTTGACATCCTTTACATTTCTTGATAATAAAAGAAGGAAAAAAAGTCACTTGTAATCGTAGGACTTGACAATCAGAACTGACTGTGGTACGGTTCGCTCTCTGGGCTTTTCTTCCCAGAAAAGAACCACCAGGGCCCGCATTATCACATTGCCTGCCACTGCACCCAAGGCTGGTTCCTCTGTCGCTCTCACGGTGCCGCCCACTTACCCTCTGGAGGAGGGACCCCAGCCACAGTTCCTCGTGCGCCCTGGAGAGCAGCTCTGGTGTCCATAA